TGATGCGTCCCGCCCCACTGCACTCCATGGAATAGTCATCTCCTTTTGCCGAGTTGAACAAAGCGTATTTCACTAGTGGACGGCACACGCTTTACCCAGGTTGTCAGATACTTGGGTAGCGGCTGACAGCGCTCGATTTCCCTACAGTTCAAGCAACTAAGTGCTTCCCAAAGACATACAATACCAAGTGCCACAGATATAACATAACTATTGTATTTATTGTATTGTAAAGCATAAAAACACAAATAAGCGCGACGATAAAACATCTTATCGAACGACATAAAAGTCTATAAAGAGAGCTTGGACGTTTAAAAAGAGTCCCAAATCTCGAGATAAAGACAAATAAAGATTGAAAGATAAGATTCTACAAGGTAGCCGTTCGTCCATTGATTGTCACCAGTCCCTGTGCTCGTAAAGACTCAGCTTGCTGCGTCAACACTGCTATGACGTCACTTATAGCGGGACGGGCTTCGGGATCCCTCGCGACACAACGCATAATGAGCTCTCGAAGGACACCGTTAGTTACCAGGCCTATTTGTTGGTGGATCTGCTGGGGGACTGGAAGCTCTCTGATGCACATCTCGCACAACAATAAACCGAAACTGTAAACGTCCGCCTAAAAGAAAGCAAACGAGACAAGTCTGTGAGGAAAATAGTACAAAAAATAACAATATTCGTTAAATCGTCAATTCCATTGGGTAGATGTCGATCATAGGTTATCCTCTGGGTCGTCGTTTGGTGCCGTGGTGACAACAGCGTCGGCTGTGGCAGGTCAGTCTGATGCTGGAGTGACAGTCGGCTACCACATCGAGTGCAGGTATGGGTGGTCGCAGGGTTGTCTCCACAGGAGCGCGCCTTTAAAAGTACGATAGCTTGCGTAGCAGATGTTTTCCATTTTCTAGGCGAAGAGATTGAGAAAGCGAGCAAGCAAACGAGCGCGCCTGGATTGAACCAAAATGGAGAGAAGTGGATATGGGGTGAGCAAAAAAAGGACGGCGGTGGGGAGAGGTGGAGAGGGAAGGAATCATTTTCTGCCCCACCTCCTCCCCTCGTTCCTTATTTTTTCGCACTCGCTCGCACTCAGTACTAAATTTCTTCTTACCTTTGGAGACTGTTGAGAAGTGAGAGCCTCTGGCGCAGCATAAATCCTTGCTCCTGGATTCTCCGTCATGTACTGACGCATGAAATTTGCCGCTCCGTAGTCTGATAACTTGGCTCTCCAACTGTTATCTCGTCTCCAAAGCAACACGTTGGAACTACTAATGTCTCTGTGCATGATGGGAAATGGTTTATTGAGATGGAGATAGTTGAGCCCGCGAGAGACATCCAAAGCGAGGCAAATGATCTCCTCTTGATGTAACGCGCGCTGGGTCAAAATGTTCCTCAAGTCTGTGTCCAGCAACTCCGTCACAAACAAAGGGCTTCCGTCGTCGTTTGTCGCGCCTATGAATTGAAGTAGATGCGGGTGTCGACAACGCGACGCAATGCTCATTTCTCGCTCAAACAATCTGCGATTATGAGGAGACAGGATAAGCTCGTGAATCTGCTTCACCGCAACTTTACACCCGCGGAATGAACCTTCGTAGACTTTGCCCCAGGCCCCTACACCTAAACTGTTTTCAGACAGGGTGACCTCGTCACGGCGGATGATCCAATCACGTGGCTCGAGTCGCCGATACTCGGCCAGGGTGTCTTGCGCACTAGATACCGCTGATTGTAATTCTCGAAGGCGGTGCTCGCTTTCGATCGCGTTTCTTTCGCTGTCGCGGATGCGTTGTTCGTAACGTTCGCGTTCTCGTTCAAGGTTCTCTCGATCTTGCTGCAAGGTCAATCTTTCCTCGGTAAGTTCTCTCTCAATAGAGATGCGCCTGTTCCTTTCTTGATCCATTTGAATCTGCATATTTCTTAATCTTTCCTGTAAGTCTGCTTTCTGTTCACGTTCCAGCTGCAAGAGACGCAGTTGTTCTGCTATAGTATCGTCCTTCGCTTGGATATCTTCCCGCCTGGACTGACTTGACAGCCGTTCATTTTCCAGCCTTCTCTCTAACTCACTGCAAGCACTCCTAGCTTGGCGTAGCTCTTCTTCTAATCTCAATCTCACTTGTTGTTCTTCACCCAAAGTTCCTTGTAAACCATGGTAGCTTGTTTCTTTCTCTTTAAGCTGTTGTTCCCTCATGTTACGTACAGTTTTCTCTTCATCCAGAGCTAGGCGAACCCGCACAAGATCGCTCTGAACTTTACGCAAATGCGAATTGGCTTCACGTTCTTGTTCGAGTTCGCTTCGAAGCTGCCGTACAGAAACTCGTTCTTGCTCCAATTCACTAGTTAAAAAGGTCATATTAACAGCTTGTTGAGTTAACGAGTGATCTTTATCCGCCAAAGCGTTTTCTAAAACTCGGATTCTTTCACACAGACGTTCTTTATCTGTAGAATAACTAATCTCCAAATCCATCATCCGTCCAAGTTGGCGTTCTTTCTCCTCTTCCATCTCTTGCAGCTTTCCTCTTTCTATTTCCAGAAGTTTCTGATGTTGTTGTAAGTTCTCCCTTTGTTCCTTGCTGTGCTGATCGAGTAAGGTGATGTGCGACTCCATTTCTTTATGATGGAGAAGAATATCTGGTTTAACGGGTTCCGAGGTGCTTGTAACAGGTTGGTCACTGTTCGTTGTGATAGCCGAGGCTTTTCGTCGTCTGCTTCGTGTTTGTATTGTGGCATTTACTGGGTCATCTTTCTCCTTTGTTTGCTCAGTGTTTTCTGCAGTGTCAGAAGGAGCAGCGGGCATTTTGGACTGCAAACATAGAAATGAATTTGCTTTGGTTCAACTGTATCCATGGACCTCAGAGTCTGAATTAAACAACAGTGTTCCTGTCTTGGGAACTTAACAGCAGCAGTTACAAAGTTCCAATCAAATTTGCTATTTTTTCGTAGCAAATCGTGTTGGTCAACTACGTAAATGTATGATTGAGTAAATGTTGCAACATAATTCCACTAAGCATCGCTTTAAAGCGTGCCTCATCTAAGGAAAACTAAATTGAGAATTCCTTACCGGAGCAGACTTGGATCCGTCTGAGAAGAGTTCCCTGCGAGCATGTTTTCCTGTAGAAACAAACAATCATCGTTTGTTACTGACAAAAGTGAATGATTTAAACCTGGACAGTGCAGGAACGCTATAAAAACTCTGACATTTGTGACGCAAATGTAAGTGTATCGTTATGTTCAATTTTCTCTGACCAATACTAGCACAGGTGATGTCGATGGAAGGCAAACAAAGATTCAAGGAGGTCAAACCTTGACTCCTTAATCCTTACTACGGACGCTATCTCGAAGATGTTTGTTGCAGTTTTACGTGAGAATTCGACGTTGGCAATAACATAAAAGGGCGATTCCACAACGCTCTTGTATCACAAATGTGAGTTAAAAAAAAAACTAGCAAAACGCGCACAAAAAATCGTAGGCTTTTAGGAAAGTCCTTCGTCTTCGCAC